TTCCCTAATATGTAAAGTATCATTTTTTTTCTCTTGTTGCTCTTAATATTTCCTCTTTGTCCTTGATTTTAGCAGTTTTTGATAATGCCCCTAGATGTGGTTGTCTTTGTAGCCTACTTGGAGTTTTCTTAGCTTCTTGTATCTGTAAGTTTATAGGTTCTCCCAATTATTTCTTCATAATTTTTTGCCCCACTCTCTGTCTCTCTTCTTTTCTTTTGGAACTCCAGTTATACATATGTTAGCTTAAATTTATCCACAGGTTTGTTCATTTTCTTCTAGTTTTTTTTCTTTCTGTTCTTCATATTTGATAATTTCTATTGTTCAGACTTCAAGTTTATTGTTCAACCTTCTAACACCTCCAGTATTAAGCTGACCTAGTAAATTTTCCATTTCAAATATTGTATTTCTCAGTTCTAGAATTTCCACTTAGTTTTTTTTGGTAATAGTTTTCATTTCTCTGTTGAGATTTCCTATCCACTCAACCTTAAATCCTTGAAAATATTTATAACTTTTCTAAACTCCCCTTTCTGCTAATTCAAGTGGCTTGATTATCTTGGGGGTTAGCTTCTTTAGACTGCTCTTACTCATGAACTGTGGGTCACATTTCTTGTTTCTTTGCAAGTCAAGTGATTTTTTGTTTTTTGAATAAGCTAATACATGGGAAAGCTCTCTCTCTTTTTGTTTTTAATATTTATTTATTTAATTGGTTGTGTCAGGTCTTAGTTGCACAGGCGGGCTCCTTAGTTGCGGCATGCATGTGGGATCTAGTTCCCGGACCAGGGCTCGAACCTGGGCCCCCTGCATTGGGAACATGGAGTCTTAACCACTGTACCACCAAGGAAGTCCCACAAGTCAAGTGATTTTTGATGTATACTGGATGTTTGTGGATGTAAGTTATAGATTCTCTGAATTCTGTTAACTCTACCTGAGGAACATTAGTTGTTTCTTTCCCCTTGTGGGTAGTTAACGTTCTAGACTCAAACTCCATACTCTGCCTCCTCCACAGCAGGCGACGCTACAATTGCCTGCTTCTTTTAGCTTTCCAACCATTGCTTTTCACCGAGAATCTTGGCTCCTCTCCCGTGTAAGCACACAGAAGTCAACCAAGGATTTGTAGGATCCTCTTCTGTTACTTTCTCACTTCTGCTGGGAGCTCTTCTTTCTCTCGTCCTACCCACCCTTCCCCCATCCCTGCCCCCCTCCTGCCACCAGCTCCACTTTCCATCTTCTCTGTCAGACTCAGACTCTGTCTTTGACTCCTCAAGACACAAAGAGGTTGGCTTTCTGGGTGAAGTTCTGCCATTTTGTTTCACAAGGATTGAGGCATGCTCTAAGGCAAAAAATAAACCAAGACAAAACCATAAAGCTGCAAATTTAACCCCATGCAATTCACTTCTTTCAGTGATCAACTTTTGTCCTGTTTGTACCTGATTTTTGTTGCTCTTCAGTGCCTTAAAATACTTTATAATTGTTATCTATGGAAGAGTTAATCCAATATAAGCTACTCCACTATTATTAGAAGTGGAACCATTTAGAAATTGGTTTTGTTTTTATCCAGTCTTTTAACTGGCAAGTTTAATTCATATAAGTTCATTGCAGATATTAATATTTTTGTATTTACTCTTGCTATTTCATTCTTAGCTTCCTCTTTTTGCTTCTTCAAATTGTTTTATAAGCTATGTATGGGTTGGCCCCAAAATTCGTGTTTCTATTCTTTTTGTGGTCACCTTGGCATTTTACTACATTTTTTATATATAACCGAAAGACTAAAGTACAGGTACATGTTGTCTACCTCTAAAAGGACTCTGGAACTCTTCAGCTCTGATCCTTTCCCCCAATTTATATGCTGGTATTCTCCAGAATTTTGGTTCTCTGTGTGTGTATATGTGTATGTAATGCACACAAAAATTGTACAAACATCTCACAAAGCAGGTGACCATCTTTTAGGTTAAGAAAAACAGAATATTGCCAGTGTATTGATTTCCTAGGGCTCCTCAACTAAGTACTACAAACTAGGTGGCTTAAAACAACAGAAATTGTCTGACAGTTCTAAAGTTTAGACATCTAAGATCAAGCTGTTGGTAGGGTCGTTGTCCCACACACAGCTTCTGGTTGTTAATGGCAGTTGTAGGCATTCCTTGGCTTTTAGATGCATCCATCCCTCTAATCTCTGCCTCCATCATCATGGAGCCATCTTCTACCTATGAGTCTTATCTTCACATAGCATTTTCTTCCAATAAGGACACCAGTCGTATTGAATTAGGGCTCACCCTAGCGACCTCATCTTAACTTGTTTACACCCACAAAGACCCTATTTCCAAATTAGGTCACAGTCATAGGTACCAGGGGTAAGGACATACCTTTTTTGGTGGGGGGCACAATTCAACTCATAACAACTAGTACCCTAGAAGCATCCCCCTCATTTAATTTTAATTAATTAAAATACAAATAGCCACATATAGTTAGTGGCCATCATACTGGACAGCACAGGCATAGTCTATATTCTTTTGGGTCTGGATGCCTTCAGTCAACATTGTTTTACAGATTCATCTGATTGTTAGCATATAGCTTTGGTTTGTTCATTTTCAATACCTCTATAATAATTTTACACATATATCACAACTCATGTATTATTTATAGACATTTGGTTGGCTGTTACAAGTAATTCCCACACTTCTGGGAATGTATACTGAGGCGGGGACTTGCTGACATTCAGCTTTAGTAGGTTATGCCAAGTTTTTTTCCAAAGTGGTTGTTCCAATTTCCTTCCAGTACTGAATGTGAGTTCCCGTTGATCTACTGATACATCTTCACTAATCATTGAATTATTGGTCTTTTTAATTTTAGCTAGTGATGGTCATTTCTTTGTGGTTTGAGTTTACATTTTTCTGATGAGTAATGTTTATTGACCATTTTCACATCTTTTGCCAGTGCCTTTCCAGATTTCTTGACAGTTTTCTTTTGGATGATCTTTTTTTTTTTAAATTAATTTTTTGGCTGTGTTGTGTCTTTGTTGCTGTGCACAGGCTTTCTCTAGTTGTGGCGAGCGGGGGCTACTCTTTGTTGCAGTGCACAGGCTTCTCATTGCGGTGGCTTCTCTTGTTGCTAAGCACAGGCTCTAGAGCGCAGGCTCAGTAGTTGTGGCGCATGGGCTTAGTTGCTCCGCGGCATTTGGGATCTTCCCGGATCAGGGCTCGAATTCGTGTCCCCTGCATTGGCAGGCGGATTCTTAACCACTACGCCACCAGGAACACCCTGGATGATCTTTTTATTGATTTTTCTGGGTTGAAAATCTTTTAGTTCTCTCTGGGTACAAGCAAGATCCATGTATTGCAAATATTTTCTCTCACTCTGTGTCTTGTCTTTTTACTCACTTAATGGTGCTTTTGATGGAGAAAAGTAATTTTAATACATTCCAAAGTACGATTCTTTATCATAATGTTTTGTGAATCCTAT